AGAGAATTCTCTCGATTATCACACACACACACACACACACACATACATATTCAATAATACTTAAGATTATTAATTTATAACAAATCTAAAAAAAAAAAAAAGAAAAAAAAAAAAAAGTATTTATAAATTTATAGACATAAATGTATAAATATTTAATCGATAATAAATTATACACACACACACACACACATATATATATATATATATATATATATATATATATTGAATATAAATATATAAATATTGAATAAATATTAAATAACATGTAAACACTCTTCAGTAGACGATCAATATGTTCAACAATCGAGCATTACCGAACATATTCGACAAAAAAGTTGATGATCCAATAAGCGTCGAAAAAGAAGAAAAAGAAAAAAAAAAGAAAAAAGAAAAAAGAAAAAAAAAAGAAAAAAAAAGGAAAGAATCATAGCAACTTAGGAGAAGTCTCTCGATAGGGTGGAGGATCAACGAGAACGAGAACGAGAACTACGACGATAGAACTCGACTTCTTAAGGCTTTCGAAGGACGCGGCACGAAGATCGAGGGATCTTGCCTTTTCCGCAGCACGATGTGAGAATGTTACTCGGTCTAAGGTAACTAACTCCATAGCAAAAACTGGACGTTCTCCTGCCTACTTCGCAGTTTTCTTTTTTATTTTTTTGTCTTCAACCTACCCCCACTTCCCCTTCTCTTCATCCTCTTCTTTATCGTCTTCTTCGTAGTAACCAAGCATCATCTACTCCTCATTCTCCTCCTCCTCCTCCTCTTTCTCTTTCATCCTCCTCCTCCACCCCCTCTTACTCCTTCGTCGTCGTTTCTATCTCTTGACGTTTCCCTAGAGAACGACGGTGACACATCGACCTGTCCACCAACTGCACCGGCACACGCTATAATCCCAATGCATCGGCCTAATGTCTAATGCTTACCTACTATACGACAGAATGATGGTCTTGATAAAAAAGAGATGCTGAAATAGCTTCTCTTTCGAGAAATACACACACGGAAATATGATAGTTACCTTGATTGATAATAATCAAGTGTCAGACTTTAATCATTGACTATAATGTTTCAGATCTCAAATATTTTTCATATATTAGTTTGTTAATGTAATAAAAGAATCTTTTTTATAATCATACATCTAATTCATGTTAACGTTATCTCACGTGGAAATTTTCCACCCTTTGTTTCTTCTTCTTCTTCTTCTTCTTCTTCTTCTTTTCCTTTTTTCTTTCTTTTTGTTATTTTTCAACATTTCATTTAAATCGTATATACATCAATAGAATGAAATAAAAAAAAAAAAAAAAAAGAAAAAAAAAGAAAGTAATCCAATAGATCGATACCTTATCAATAGATTAACACGTATCTCGTTGTATCCCTAGAATTTATTATTTCTATTAATCGACACAATTCACACAGATATAAAATACATTCAACCCTTGAACTACAGAAGGAATAAAGATAGTCGAAAAGAATTCTCAGTGATGTCAACGCAGAAAGCTGGAGAAAGGGAAAAGCAAGAGAGAGAGAAAGAGAGAGAGAGAGAGAGAGAAAGAGATAAAGAAAAATACGAAGATAGAAGAATAAGAGAAGGAAGAAAAATTCATTATCGTTGATGTAACGCGTCGACGTTGAAATCGTTTAAAATTGCTAAAAGAAAATCACAAAGTAGAACGTAACCACTGCGTCGGGTCGCGTCGCCTTGCGTCTGTAAGATTCTCAACAAAATCGTCTCTGCCATCTGGCATGCAACTGGCCGACAACGTGGAAGCCGCATTACGATAGTAATTGTTGCAGGACTCCCTCTCCCTCTCTCCTTTGTTACTCTTCTCCTTCTTTTCTTCTTCTTCTTCTTCTTCCTCTTCTTCTTCTACTTCATCTACCTCTCTTTTTTCTTATCCTTTTCTCTCTCATTGCGGTTGTGCGCGCATATTTTCTCTCTGTTTCTATATCTTTCTCACTTTAAAATGCTAATGTTTCGTTTCTTTACGAATTAAAAAACAGAAAGAGAGAGGCAGAGAAAGGGAGAGAGAGAGAGAGAGAGAGAGAGAGAGAGAGAGAGAGAGAGAAGGAGGGGGAGAAGAAGAGAGGGAAGAAAGAGATTCTGAATATGAGGAATGTAAAAGTTTTTTAAACGAAGCTCTTCCTAATTCCATTGCTTAACTCTTGGTCTTGGACCGTGATACAAGACGTTTAACGACGTACCTTCTCGAGATAGGTCGGACTCTGTGCGAAATGCCGTAAATTTATCATGGATTCCGTTTTATGTCGGGCATTTCTCGGAACGAATCTACTGTTACTCACTCACGAACACGCGATACCGTTCATCTTCCTTCTCTCGATCTATCTATTTAACGAATTTATCGAGAACATCAAGAAAAAGGTTTAAAAGAAAGAAAGAAAAAAAAAAAAAAGAGAAGAAAGTTGGACAATCATTTTTTATTTTCAATGCAAACAAGAAAATTTTTTATTTTTCTCCCAATCGAAAAGGTTCGGAACATTTGTCTTTTTTGCTTCGATCAATTTTTCTTTCTTTCTTTCTTTTTTTTTTTTTTTGTTAATTTCCTTGTCATTTTCTTTTAAATTAAAAATAAATAAATGAAAAAAGAAAAACAAAAAAAAAAAAAAAAAAGGAAGAGTAATTTTGTGTTATTACAATCGTATAACTCTAAAAAGTTCGTCAGCCATTACTTTCTTAAATAAATTATCGAGAAAAGATAAAAGAAAATTCTTATTTTCTGATCTAATCGCCGAAAATCCCGTAATTTTCTTTTCCACTTTAGCGAGCAACATTTCTTATCAGTCTCGATTCTCTTATTCTTTTTTATTTCCTTAAAAAAAAAAAAAAACTTTAAAAGAAAAAAGCTTTATTTTTCTTACCAAAAGATCTATAATATTTAAATAAGATCAACATTTCAATAATTCTAAAAATTTCAATTTCCCTTCCCTTCTTTTATTTTCCTCAAACACTCCAATAAGAATAATGAAGATCGATAGTCCCATTTAAGAGGTCAAGGAATGTTAATTCAAAGGAAATCGAAGTACTCGATTTTTCTTTACGTCGTCCTTTATCGAGAACGGCCTTGCCCCTTTGCAAAAGAAAGTTCTATTTCCTTGGAAGATATAAGAAATTCTTGGCAAATGTACGACTGCGGATTCGATTTGTATGCAGAAGGGAGAATGCAACAACGTCCACTAGCATTTCTATCCTACGGTGAAATAGATGGTAGAAGAAAATTTCAACGATTACGTAAGGATTCTCTATTATATAATCTACTAAATACTTCCCCGTTATTCGATCAAATCGAAATATGTATGAGTGAAAATAATTCACACATGTATACCTGACGTGTCAATGCATGCATGCATGCATGCATACATACATACAAATGTATGTATACATAGATCATATACTTTTTAAAATCTAATCTCCGTATTACAATTCAACCTTCGACTCGTCGTAAAGCTGTTAATCCTACTATTTGTGGGATCCATCACGTTGATAGATTAACGATACACACACACACACACACACACACACATAGACCAAACATACGAATTTTCTAATATCGACTATTTGATAATCGATATATCAAGAGAGCGTAAATCGATAAGAGAAGCCAGACGGTGAGAGGGTGAGTGAGAGAGTGAAAGAGAGAGAGAGAGAGAGAAGAGAGAGAAAAAAAACAAAAAGAAAAATCAATTCTCTTCGTTCGTCTAAGCAACTTAAAAGATCCAGTTAGTATTCAGTCCGGTTCATCCATAAACTTTGCTTAACTGCACGTAACAGCACGTAGCTGCACGTCTGAAATGCGCTTTGATGTCTCTTCGCGAGACATGAATTTTGTAATACGCGAGAGTTAACCGCAAAAGTTGTTTCTATTTTTTTTTTCTTTTTTTTTTTTTTTTTTTTTTTTTTTTTACGAAAGGATCAACAGGATCCTTCGAATTTTTGAAGAAAAATATTTGGATAAAACAAAGACTAATTTCGATCGTTTCTATCCAATCGTTTCAAGATAATTTTGCGGATATAATGATGTCATTAAGAGAGTAACTTAATTAAGTTACTATCCCCCAAAATACGTGCATGAATACCAAAGTACTCCCCTGTCACTTTCTTGTCATCTTAGAAACGTCCTACACTTAAGAATGATTAAATAAATTTTATGAAGAGTAGATAGATATCATTCGTGTCAAATCATGGTTATAATTATAATTGTCAAGTTCGAATAAAAATTATCAGTAAAATTGGGACAAATTATGATTTAAAAAAAAAAAAGAAATAAATAAATAAAAAAGATTGTATCACGTAACTTAGTGATTATTATCTTTGAGATTTCACTTATCTCGAGGTTAAAGACCGCGATGTACGCAGTCATAATGCCTTTACGCAAAACTAACTCCACAATGTCGTGCTTGAAAGTCATTAAACTATTGCATAGTGAATGGAGTGTGACAAAGCGATACGATTCGGTCGTCATCTTCGAATATAATGGTACAACCAAAGACGCGAATAAACTCTTCGTTATTTACTCTCATCTTATTGAGAAATTGTGTAAAATGATGTGATGTATATGTCATAACATTTAACGACGATTTTAATATCCAACATATCGCTTATCTCACAATACCTAAAGTGCTAACGAAATCATAATTCTCACTCTCTCTGTTATTCTGTTTCTCCTTTACCCTATTACAGTTACCTCACAACTAGATGTTCTTATCCAACAGAATGGATGGCGAAATAAAAGTTCAACATCATATTACCCAAATTTTGCGATTTAGAAAGAAGTCCAAAGTTCTAGTCACGCCTAACCGTAATAGTAAACACATTCTAGCAATTTCAGCATCTCAGTACTGCTCTTAAGTATAATAAGAAATGTAATAGAATGTCATTAAACTCGTCGACTTCAAGGAAATGCATCATGAGCGGATCTTACAAACCGGCTTCTCTATAAAAGCCCTCGTCTCTTTGTTTCATCCGTTATACGCTCCAAGTGATTATGCAGCCATTACAATGGGTAAGTTCAAAATTACGTCGTCGATATGTGTTACTTTCTAGAAAAAAAAAAAACCTCTATTCACGGTAACTTGTTTTACGCGCAGTTGAAAATACTACTCTTGCTGAATTATGGCGCTGGGCGACAAGTGCGGCTTGGACGACAAGCCGGATATAACTATCAAAGGCCGAGGGTACCGTTCTTCTTACCGACTGAGAATGTCGGTTCGAACGTACCTGCCTATCCCGCACAACGTTACAACTATCCAAGTTATCCTACTTATAATTATCCTGCTCCTTATCGACCTTTTCAACCAGCTCTTCCATCTTATCCATCTCCTCAACCACCACCTTCTTATCCATCGCCACAACCACCACCTTCTTATCCGTCTCCTCAGCCACCACCTTCTTATCCGTCTCCCCAGCCAATACCTTCTTATCCATCACCGCAGCCACAACCTTCTTATCCATCACCACAGCCACAACCTTCTTATCCATCACCTCAGCCACCTCCTTCATATCCATCTCCACGGCCACCACCTCCTTCGTATCCATCCCCACGACCACCACCTCCTTCGTATCCATCCCCACGACCACCACCTCCTTCGTATCCATCTCCACGACCTCCACCACCATCCTATACATCTCCACAACCACCACCTCAAACACAAGAAGTTATAGTAATATCTTCAACTCCATATCCTGCATCACGCCAGCCAACGCCATCACCTACACCTTTTCCTCAACCATCCTATCCTCCATCGCGACCTCCTCCAAGACTTCCACCTCCTCCCCTTTCACCTCCACCATCCCAATCTCCTTATCCACCTAGTTCAACACCAACCCCCTATACTCCTTCAAGTCCACCATTATTACCATCTCCATCTTATTCACCTTCGCCCACAACACCAACCCCTTATCCACCATCAGGCCCTCCTTCGAGACCATCATCACCTTCATTTTCTTATCCACCATCATATACTCCGTCGACTCTACCACCGATAACAACTCCTTTTCCACCATCATACCCTTCGACGCCGCCTTCATTACCCACAAGTGGGTATCCTCCATCGAGACCACCGCCAACTCCAATTCCTTATCCTCCTACTGGACCGCCACCGCCTCCACCGCCTCCACCTCCGCCGCCTCCACCTCCACCTCCACCACCGCCACCACCGCCGCCACCTCCACCTCCGCCGCCTCCACCACCGCCTCCACCACCGCCACCGCCGCCGCCACCACCACCTCCTCCTCCAGTATATTTACCTCCAGCACAACCACCACCACCACCACCGCCGCCTCCACCACCACCGCCACCTCCGCCACCACCACCACCGCCTCCTCCGCCTCCACCACCACCGCCTCCTCCGCCACCACCACCACCTCCTCCACCACCGCCTCCTCCACCTCCTCCTCCTCCTCCACCGCCACCGCCACCGCCTCCTCCAGTATATTTGCCACCAGCATTTCCACCGCCGTCTCCACCGCCACCACCACCGCCTCCTCCTCCGCCACCACCACCTCCTCCTCCGCCACCACCACCTCCTCCACCACCGCCACCACCACCTCATCCGCCACCGCCACCACCACCACCTCCTCCGCCACCGCCACCACCACCACCTCCTCCGCCACCGCCACCACCACCACCTCCTCCGCCACCGCCACCACCACCACCTCCTCCGCCACCGCCACCACCACCACCTCCTCCGCCACCGCCACCACCACCACCTCCTCCGCCACCGCCACCTCCTCCACCTCCTCCGCCACCGCCACCTCCTCCACCACCACCGCCTCCTCCAGTATATTTGCCACCAGCATTTCCACCGCCGCCTCCTCCGCCACCACCACCGCCTCCTCCTCCGCCACCGCCACCGCCACCACCTCCTCCTCCACCACCACTACCGCCACCGCCTCCTCCTCCATCACCGCCACCGTCTCCTCCGTCATCATCTACTTATACTCCTGGCCAACGTCCTTTTCCTCCAGCGTCACAATCACGACGTCCTATTTCAGGACCAAAATATCTACCACCAAGTACTTCTCCACGACCAGCTTATAACCAACAAGTTTATACAACATCTAGGCCTGGCTCTACACCCGCACCAACATATTTACCTCCTTATGATCAAGGAAATAGCAGACAACCTGCTTTTAGTAGTCTTTCAGGAAGCGGCTCTTCCGCCTTTCCTTCATCTTTTGCGAATTCAGGAGTAGTGAAGCTAAGCGGTACCGCTACTTCGTCAAGCTCATTCAACATCGGCTTTCGAGGCACTCCATCGAACACTGCTTCAGCGAATGGAGCGTATTATAATACTCAAAGTCCTTCTGCATTCACGTCAACCGGAACATTGTCGCAAGTCACGAAAATAACCGGACCTGGTGCTGCGCCAGCATCCTACAGTGTTCCGGCTATTTCGAGTCCAGGAATTGGAGGACAAGACGCAAATTATCCGACATATGTTCAAGCACCTAGCCCAGCGTATTACCCTGCTCCTGCTCCTGCTCCAGCAGCACAACCAGCTCCAAATTTTCTTACAGCCACTTATCCTATTCAAGCACCACCTAATACTGCTTTGTCAGCAGCTTTCAATCCTGCACCGCCATTCCTGTCAAGTACACCTTCTCTACCAGCTGGAAATTATGTTCAAAGTCCAGCTGTTCCAGGGGTGGTAGGACCTCCTGTTCAAATTTATTCTCCAGCTTCTACTGCTGTAGTTGCTCAGGCAGGCTATCCTAGTTATCAATCTGTTTCTCCAGCCCCTGCTGCTCAGCCAGCCTATCCAAGTGTTTATCAATCTGTTGCTCCAGGTCCAGCATCAGCTCCAGCATTTATACCTAGTCCTGCCTTTCAAACAGTTCCTAGTCCTTCACAATCAACTTTTGTAAATCCACCAGCGCAAACCTACCTCGCAACAAACGTTCCCAGTTATCCTAGTTACCAGCAACAATCTCCAGCAGCACCAATGTACAATTATCAGCCATCGATACCAGCGGTACAACAGCAACCATCGTTTTCTCCAGCAGTACAACAACAAACGTCGTTTTCTCCAACAGTACAACAACAAACTTCGTTTGCTCCAGCAGTGCAACAACAAACATCGTTTGTTCCAACAGTGCAACAGCAACCATCGTTTGCTCCAGCCAATCCACCGTCAATCAGCTACATTCCACAAACGGGATGATAGATAACAATTAAAAATAATTCTAAACTAACCAACTAACTGTGATTGAAACAAGTAAAATATGTAACACAGTACGTACGTCTCTCAACAAAATCATTTTTTATTATTAAATACAATTTGTACGATATCAACTAATTCGACTACAATCGATATATCACAGCATTTTATCAGGTAGACATTCTAAATGTCAGTCTCGGTAGCTTAAAAATCTCTATATATTAGTACGATCAAAATTAGATTGTAAATAAGTACAAAGTAAGTCATCGGTATACCCTTGTCGAGATTATTAAAATGCGGCTCTGTTCTCTAGTTTAAACGAAAACTATGTTTCTATTAATGAAACATACGTTAAACTATATATGAAAAAGTGCGTTATGTTAATACGTCATAATCCAAAGTGTTAGCGCGTTATTTCTAACAGGAAATGACTATGTTAGATGTAATAATGATGACCTTATTTTTAACTTCCTATTGCTTCGAACGCACAAATGAACTATCATGTATCTTACATGATTCGAAGCCGCATAATGGAATAATAAAACATGTCTTGTGTTAATGATATGTATATATATATATATATATATATATATATATATATATATATATATATATATATATGCACATGTATGTACATTTCTTATCACTTTACACGTATAATAATGCTGAATAAATTCATTAAGAAAGACAGAACTAGCAATCCATATGAATTAACTAAACGAATCCATGACTCTGGATATTTTTTCTTTGAGTATTCTTGCAAAATGATCATTTATGATAGACAAATAATGTCAAATAAATAAAATCGATCCAAGTAAATCACTGACAAAGAAAGCAATTAAATGGTATCACAAAATAAATCAAATGAGACAAATTTATAGCTACTCGAATTTTCTTAAATAACACATTTCTACACAAAACGATAGTAACGTGAATTGATATGAGAATAACCCAAAATGTTAAACACCAATTGTCATACCAATTGCATTAAAGAACAAGCTATGATATTCCTCGAATGTATTTGATAAGTAACGAAAAAAAAAAAAGAAAAACATCCTATGAGTTTTTTTATACGTATATATACACACACACAGAAAATCTAAACCTTCTTTTAACAACACCTTCTATCGCAAATCGAATCACCTCGAATCTTAAATAATTAAGGGAACCTATCCGTTTTCGTTAATATTACCTAGGAAAATATAAATTATTTATATATATATAAAAATATTTTCTTTTCCTGTAGCACATCTTCATTCATATCCATTCTCCGTTAATTTACTTAAACAATCGCAAGACTTGGATTGAGTTATGTACCTAAAATAAAAAATAACTTCGTTAGAATCTATGCGATAAAAAAAAGAAAAAAAAAAAGAAAAAGAAAAAGAAAAAATAAAAAATAAAAAATAAAAAGAAAGAGAGAAGAAAAAAAAATAGGGTAAGAATAAAATAAGAGGAAGCTTTTTAGAAGCATTAAAAGTCGCAGGAAAGAAAAAGAAAAGTTCTCGCCTGAACTGGAACGTTATCGATAAGGAAGAATGTTAATAAAGCAAAAAGCAGCATAACTAACCCAAGATTACGTTAATATCTTGTTTTATCATTTGTAACACAACCGTTTATTCGTTGGATCCCTTCGTCCAATGCAGAGAATCATTTTGCCTGGTTTGGCATTCTTGAAAGTCTGAAGGGCCTTCGTGTGGGTTGCTCCATCCATTGGTATGCCATTAATCGCTAAGATCTCATCACCGACCCTAAGTGTACCTTCCTCAGCTGCCTGACCACCTTCCATAATATCCTTTACGAAAATACCCATATAACCCTTCTTGCTATCGGATCCTCCGACGATCGAGAAACCAAGTTTCTTTATAGCTCCTTTTTCCAAGGTCACGGTCAACAAATCTTTCGAAAGGCTTGATACTCTTTTCGGATAACAAACTGGATGTGAAGTTCGTTTCTTGATAACTTGAAATTTCCTCATACCAGTCATTTTTCTCCCGTTATCGTCTCTCGTCTCGTTAATCGATAATTCACTTTTGGGTCGCTTTGTTGGAGCCTCTTCGTTCTTCGATCGATGATCAACTTGAGAAGATTCAACTTTGGATATGTTGGAAACTCCAGGATCAGATTTACTCTCTTGCAATGTCCACGCGTCAGAATCATTTCGAGGACGAGAAGGAACTCTCTCTAAATCAGCCCAAGTATCACCGATCTCTTCACCAAATGCAAATGTTGGTTCTCTAGCGATTTGTAGCTCAACGTTTCCTACACAATTACGTAAGGCGCTTCTAGCCTCGGTGATAGTCATCCCACGTAATCTGCGACCACAGACTCGAACGATCTCGTCGCCAATTCGAAATAATTTAGATTTAGCTGCTTCGCCGTTGGAATCTAACTTTGATATAACGTAAAACGGTCTGACAGCTTCCCGTCTCTCAACGGAGATACCAAGATTGCCCGATCTTTCAACGGTAAATTTCATGGTCTTCAATTCTCGACGTACTAAAGTTGATTTAGCTGGCGTTGAAGTTGTTATTGATCGAGGATTATCAGCGAAAACCATTCTCTTAACCTTATTGATTCTATTGATAGATTCGTCTGAAGATGTTTCAGCTTCCAAAGCAGAACGAGATCTTTTAGGACTATAATATTGAATTGGACTTTTCAGTAACAACGTCGACGAATTAATCTTCGTTGCTGGTGGACTGTCCTTACAAGGAGAGGAAGCATTATCGAGAAGAGTCAATACGCTACCACTTCCAAATTTTCGATTCCTTGTAGAAATTATAGGTTTCGTTTGTATCAATGAACTTTGAATGATCCTATTCGTCTGAGATACAGATGCAACGTTTTTCGAAGTCGTTGGAAATATTTTCGAGTATCGACTACTAGACTCCATCTTTGAATCGTTCCTATTAGAGTTATCGAAGAAATTTAATTTGGTGCACTGTTCATAGTCCTCAAAAGTGTCTTCGTCGCAACTGTCAGTATCATCGTCATGCTCGGACATGACCAAGGTCGATTCAGTCTTGTTAGAATCACTCAAAAAATGATGTGCCTCCACGATGGTATCGTTAGCATTCTCAGAATCTTCGGTATCCTTCGAAGATTCAACTTGATTGATAATAGGTGGCAATGATAGATCTATACCATGATAATCATCAGAAGTTATCGAGAAGCTACGAGGCTTTGTCATTCTCTGAGCACATTGTTCACTATCAGGAGAATCAGCACCTGCTCGTGTGCTATCGGAATCGTAACCACTCTCGTCACAACCTAGACGAAGATTGCTCATAAGATCCTCCAAACCGGTCAAGGGACAAGATCTTTGTTGATCGTTCCTAAAACTAATGGTACAGATCACCAATAGAGATCGTGAATAATCACAATAAGCTGACAACGATTGATCAAATTTTTATCTTACCTATCCCGTTCATTGGTGTTACTGAAAAGATTTTTACTCTTCGCTCTACTAAGTGTACTCGTTTTCAATGAGACGTCACTTCTTCTGTTCATCCTAGACGTCGAGGATGAATATTCCGACGACGTATCCTTCGAACTACTAGCCTTCTCTAGCTTACTCAAAGTCTCCTTTACCAATGCTGTTCCCTCTTGAGTCTTTAACACCTGCTGATTCATGAGAATAAAGTCGATGACACGTTCTTGCTCTTGAAGGTCGTGAATACTACGACTGAGTCGTCGCTGTTTTTCTTGAAGCAGAGTTCCCCTTAATCGTTCGTCGTTATTATTCTCAGACTTGACTTGAAACGTAGCTACGTTTTTAATGGCCCCATCGCTGAGAGCTTTCTCCATTGGATAATGGCTCTCCTCGTGGATCGTCACGTTTCTCGAGGTTGAATTCGAACTTAAAAAATTACTCCTCTCTGTCGACCGGAATAGATTCTTCAAGGATTCCACTCTGGAGACTCTTTTTGGCTTGGGGAATTCCGGAAAGGAATGTTCGTTCGAGCCCTAAATGAAAAAGAATTCTCTTTAACGAGATTAAAGACTAATTGGACTGATAAAAATTAGCGACGTTCTTAAGTTTAATTACATTTTCCTTTTCCTCCAAGCTATCTTCGTATCTCTTCCGATTTGGACTCCAACGACGTCTTCTACCCGAAACCGAAAGTAACTCCGAACTTTCCGATCTCTTCAATTGATCTAACCTTCGGCCTACTTTCCGACCCCATGTTGAAATACCTAGAAATTAATCGCGACTGTTACTTCGTCGTACTTTGAAACTTTCACTCTTTCAGCTTCCTTCCCCTAAGATCTCATTAATATCTCTGATGTGATCTCTTTTTTAATATGGACTCCATTGAACTTCAAATGGACCTTAGTTTATTCATACTTTGTAATTGTATTTTTAATTACATCATTTATGAGATTACGTATTAAGTTATCATTACATAAAATAATCTTCATTATAAGATTGCATAATAGAATAAAATTTTAATTGAACAAAAATTTATTTACTTAACATACTTATGATTACTATTATGCAATTTTTATAAATTAAAACAATTTTATGAAACATCTTTGATAAATATTTTATAAATAATGTATGAAATATTTAATGAAATATTATTGATGAAATATCAAACGAATTGATAACAACAAATTGTTGATACCTTTACGAGTTATCATGAATGATTGCCCAGGTACAGTTTTCTCAGACTCTCCAGGTTCTCCACCATCCCTATCGAGTCTCTTCGATGAATCTTTTTTATCAAAAACCAAGGACTTTTCATTCTGTTCGATTGTAGTACCATTTGCAGTCACTGTCTCGGATGTTTCATCTTGGGATATCGGTGTAGCTGATACCAGCTGAGGACAGGTATCCGATGTTTGTCTTTTGAATAAACGCATTTTGACGTGTTCTGGAATGATAAAGCAAAGAAAACCAAACTTGATAAAATTGAAACTAATCCTGAATAAAAAGCAAAAGAAAAACAAAGATAAATAATGATTCCAATCTAATCCATGATTAGAACATCAGAACGTCATCAGACCCTAATTATGCCAGGCAAATTACGAAACAGAGCATAAGTTCGATGAAATCCTTATAAATGAAGAAACCGCAGGTGTATCAGTTCATCGATTCACTTCGATCTAAAGTGGCTCGTATTCGATCAAGATCGATAGACGATCACTTTCTCGACATTCCATCGACGTTTAGCAATTCAGCAGTGGTTAGCAGTAGCAGCACCAGCACCAGCATCAGCACCATCACCATCAACAGCAGGAGCAACAGCTTCCTACGAGAGCTCCGCCTTCTCGATTGGAAGGGCAAAAAGAAGACTTTTCTCTTGCTACTCTCCATAGCAATCTTATCACTATAACACGCTTACCGGTTTCATGAGTTTCGTCCTATTTTCAAGTCGCCAAGAAGTCGGAGAAGGCAAAATGATGATCGTCTTTATTACTAAGTTAACTTAACAGCTATATACAACTTGATCTAACATTTGATCATAACTCTACCTTCTCTACATACAAACAAATAAAAAATAGTCCTATCTTGACTCGTCAAACTCCTCCGTCCTCTTTCCCTTCCCCTTCCCTCTCTCCTTCTCCTCCTCCTCCTCCTCCTCCTCTTTCGTGGCAATGTAAAAAAACGACTCCAAGTGATCTTACAGGCCAGGCAAACTGGTTGCCTGCCGGTAAGCAAGTCAGAATTAGACGTCCTTCCGAGCTCACCTTTCCTCTGTGATGTAACAACGTTCGCTTTACGGAGAACCCTAATGCATTCTCTCTTAATCCTTCCTTCCATTTACTTGTAACCTATTCGAAACTTGATTTCATATTTCTTTGAATACATATATATGTATATATATATATATTTTTTTTTTGATTAAATCCTATGTTTTTAACAAAATTTATAATATTCTAATAATTTTAATTTTATCATATGATTTATTGTTAGTAGTATAATCATTTCCTATAAATCTGTATATCAATCTCAATAGGCTTTACTTAGTTAGGCTCTTGTAGTTTTACAATCTGACAAAAGTAAATCTTAAAAAAAATATTTATTTTTAACTCGACTTTTTTATATTTTTTAAGTTAGAAATTCTAAAGTATTTATCATTGTTTCAATTAATAACGTGACACATCCCGACACCCGGTATATCGGTGGCAATAGACTCTCGATCCAAGAAAGGAAAAGGAGAGAAAGAGAACGAACAGGGTGTGGAAGCTGAGGAAAAAGTACTACTCTCGTGCCCACGTAGTATATATATATATACATATGTACCTTGCAAACCATATAAGTGTATATCGCGAATATTCAAGAAATCTTATCGATAGCTCCAATCGTTTTCGATTTGTTGCGAAGCGTTAAACTTGCGTGTAAAAAACTTATTCGTTTAGATCAACTTGCAACCATATTGCCCATACTTGCTACCATTTATGGCAATCTGCTTTATTTTATAGAACGAAAGAAAAGGAGTGTCCCCAAGTAGTAAATGAAGTGTAAAATCGCAGAAAACTTGATCTTACCGTATATAAATATATATATACTAAAAACAAGACTATGATGATGCGTAGTCAATGATCAAGTTCATTGACTCCATTCTCATTTAAAGAGTGCGTCAACATGGATCTATACTATATACTGATCTTACGATCGTAAAATTAATGTTAATATACTTTATTATTAATTAATTATACGATATATCGATAATTACAATTAGATTTGAAAAAAGAATGTCATCATTATGAGATACATCACAAGGATTATTCTTAATAAAAGAATCATATTCTTAATAAATATTTGCAATATTAATTAATAAATAATATAAATAAATAAAACATATAAAGGAAAAAAAAAATACATAAAATGTATTACCAATTCCAGCTAAAAATTTAAATATGAAAGACCATAGACGTGATGGTAGGTATCGGACGAAAAAAAAAAGAAAAAAAAGAAAAAAAGAAGAAAAAAAAAAAGAAAAAAAAAAGTTCACCCTAATTCTGAATCAATGTTCTCGCAAAAGATTATTAATTAAGTTTCATTGAAAATGTTCACATGCAAATCATACAGGATATCCTGTGTAGTTGGTCGAGGTCATTTATTTAACCGAAGTTTTACGATAGAAGCACAACATTCACAATCGAGCGGTATCAATTTACAAGAAGAAGGTGGATGCACCCACGTTGTCTTTGAGAAAACGCAACGATTTGGAACGAAGCCAAAGCCATGATGTGCACCGACGATAGAGGGGAAATTTTAGGCGTCTTTAACTTCCCATTCATATGCTAGTTCTCCCTCCTCCGTCTTCTCCCATCACCCGATTTTTTTTTCCACCATTTCATCGTTTCCATATTTCCTTTTTCTTTTTCTTTCTTTCTTTCTTTCTTTCTTTCTTTTTTTCTTTCCTTTTTTTTTTTTTTCTTTAAACGCCTGCACTTCTTCTTCCAGAAATAAATGTAGCGCAGGATGTTCGTCGTCTCTCATCGGCGGAAGTGCCCACTTCCGGTCGTTGCCTCGTTTCCGTCTTTTCCACGGTTTTTTCTTTTTTCTTTCTTCCTTCTTCTTTTTTTATTTCTTTTTTTCTTTAATATCTTTCACTCTTTGATGATACTCATGATCATTACCAGTTCTAAGGCTTACTGACAAATTTTTTTTTTAATTAATATTTCCATCAATATTTATATCTCTACATGCGCGTTTTGTTGAGATTTTGTCAAAAAAAAAAAAAAAAAAAAAAAAGAAGAAAAGGAGAAAAAAAAATAATCCTGAACCAGAGAAAAATCGATTTTTTTTCTAATAAAACCGTCACATAAATTTTATCCAACATTCAACGACAATAAATAATCTATTCCTTATACTGAATGTCAGTACCCGGATTGGCAGATATACGAGCTAATAAATCTGAAACTAATTTTTTTTCAAAAAGATTGATCTTTTTTCTCTAATAGATATAATAATTCCATAGGAAATCATAATTCTGTATTAATCTACGATATCAACGTCAAGCTCGAAACGAATCCACCTACAAAAGCAAGCAACCCACGTAACTACCTTTGAGATTTGTATGATATTTTCGCTTCCATTAAAAGGCGACGAAAAAAAAAAAATATATATATATATATAATGATAGAGAAAACATCAAAAAAGGATACAAAACGTAGAGAAAACTAATCTAAGGACTCCGTCTATAGTTCGAGATAACGGTACGAGATCATGGGTGATGCGTTAGATGCATTACAGTTAACCTTCTTATTTTATTCGGTGATACTAATCGTTCTCCTATATTGTACATATACTTATTATACTTAAGCAAACACACGTATACGTGCACTGACATAGAAAAAAAAGAAAAAAAAGAAAAAAAAAAAGAAAAAAAAGAAAAAAAAGAAGAACACGTGCAGACACGCTTTGAAAATATCTACACGTTGGAGGAACTCGTGCAAGCGTTCTCGTGTTCATGGCCGAACACGACTCTCTTATTAGAACAAGCCAAGAGAAGGAGAGACAAAGAGAGAGAGAGAGAGAGAGAGAGAGAGAGAGAGAGAGAGAGAGAGAGAAAGAGAGAAAGAGAGAGAGAGAGAGAGAGCAAGCTGACCGTAAAATGTAGGTGATCGGGTCTCGGTCTTTCTTGTGAACTTGGAGGAAAAAAAGTTAACCGAGTTGCTGCTACCTTCGAGTCACGCTACGTTTCTTTTCTTTTTTCTCTTCTTCTTTTTTCTCTTCTTCTTATTTACTCTATCTTTTGCATCCTTGATTATTCTAATCACTCGTACGTGACCATATTTACGATTTAAATGTCGATTGACGTCTAACCAAATGTGTCACACCTTGATGTGAGATATCTTAAATTTTTTTTTATTATCTATACAAGATTTTTTTATATATGTTTATTATCAGTATTAAAAAAAAAAAATATATATATATATATATATATATATATATATATTCTTAGAAATTAATAATATTAAAAAAGATCGAAATAAAATTTATAAAAGAAATAATCTCTTTCTCTTTTCCATTTACATCTATACGAGTAAATCCACGCTATCAAAACTAATGTATTCAAACAAAATATTGTTAATAAAATAATTATTATATAAAAGATAATTATATCATAAAATTATATACATATATATATATATATATATATATAAATAAAAAAAAAAAAGATATTACTACATTTAAAATGAATCACAGGAATAAATTCGTAGAATATACATGTATACCTTAATATATTCTCCGAGCGAAGAACGACTGAATCGATTTTTTGACCAAATTGGTAAACTGGCTTGGACTCGACGAAAGATCCTTTCAAAAAGTTTCTCGAGGACGTACGTACATAAGAATTGGCCAAATGTATGTCAGACAAGTACTCGACACGCTCACGCTCGTGATTTTACTTTCTACGAGACATCGATCGATGGAGACCGCTAAAAGAGAAAGAGAGAAAAAAAAGTTTATGTATGAGACAGAGAGACAGAGAGACAGAGAGAGAGAGAGAGAGAGAGAAACATAAATTTTTATGCGTTCGTCCTGGTCAAGTGTATGCACAACCTTAAAAGCATTTACGTTAACGAGATGCAATCGGTACAACGGTGCTAGCAAGACAAGAGGAAACAGCTAACATAAGTGAGAATTGTACGTAATGTTAACGATGTTTAGTCAAGTAACTATGTACGAATGTGTACACGTAAAGAGTGCAGTTTAACGGTGCCTGCATTGAAATTTTCTCAGATGAACGTGCATTTACTTGCAACTTGCAAAGAGAATTCAAAATCGTTCTTATGAAAGAATCGATTTCTTCATATGAAGTTTTTCAAAGACTCGATTGTTTCGACATATTAATTCGTATTCAGAACAATATTTTCATCGATAAGAATAATAAATGTTGTGAATAAAAATATTTTTTTTTTATCTATAACTTAAGTTCATGACATAAAATTATCAGTCATTAAGATGAAATGAAAGTAAACTTGATAAGTATGAGATTGTAATCTAATTATAAAAAAAAAAAAAAAAAAGAAAAAGTTCTTAACATTTCATATAGGATATTATTCTGTATTTGTTTTTTATTTTCGTAATTTATAGCAAAACTCGATTATTATTGACTATTATTTTTTTTTTAACGTGATTATTTCTATATTTCTAGTTTTATTATAAGTACATACACATATTAATTTAATTATTATTATTATATATATATATATTTTTTTTTCCATATCTATATACTTAATTCAAATGATTATGATATTATTTAAATGTAAATTATTTATATGAACGTGACTATAATACAACTCTATTTATCATTGAGCTCATATACCTCGCAATATTTTTTTTTCTCCTTTCGACATAATCAATTTAATTGAAGATATATGTGGGTAATTCGTCGTACAAGCACATCGTATTTTAAAATAGCAGTCGGCGTTCACGCGTCGCACGAATCCCGGATGGTATTTGAGATTCCGCGTGGTAGGAATCGTAACGTTAAAGATTATTACCCTTCTGCTCTCAATCGCGTTAATTAGAGTTAATTAGCATTCACGGACGGGCAAACGCGTAGAGAGAGGAACGGTTGGCTCGCAATCACGATTGGCCGTTGCTGCGTTTCCTCGATGAAAAGTGCGAGCCATGGACTTTGAAAAGCATTCCTGGAATTTGCAATACCCAATGAAAAATCCTTTCCTCTCGAGCATCACGAGGAGTTCGATGCACCGATCCTGTTCGATCGAAAGCGTTATCACTCTTTCTCCGTTTCCTCCACTCTCTCAGATCAAATATCCTCACTTATAATAAAACGAGTCATAGTTATTTTAACGGAGCATGATCCAAAAAAAAAAAAAAAGAAAAAAAAAAGGGAAAAAAGAAACAAAAATACATTTTTAATAGACTTGGATGCAACTCGTACGCTTTTAAATTACTTTTTTATTATCGATCGTGTCAAACTTAAATACGAATTAATAAAATATTCCCACTTACATAGTGAAATTATAGAAGAAAAAAGAAAAAAAAAAAAAAAAAAAGAAAAAGGAAACAAGAGGAAAGCCAGCGATTAAAAAAAATGCATTTTAATTTGATATTGATAAGAAGATGCATTTTTTAATTAAAATAACTTGTATGCAATTTGTAAGATTTAACGTACAGGTTAAATCTCGAATAAATAAGACTAATATTATGTTTTTCGTTGGAGTTCCTTAAACCAGAAAATTCCATAGTCGAACTCACGCACCAGACGAATATATGCATCTTATAGTCTTTCGGTGTGCGAGGGAGGAAAAGAGGAACAATGCCGTTCGCAAGGAAGACCATGCTAAAGCGTGGGAGAATCGTATATACCGAGCAAAAGGCATATAATCTAGAAAAGAGTACTATCGAATGAGAGAAATAGAGAGAAAGAGAAAGAGAGAGAGAGAGAGAGAGAGAGAGAAAAAAAAGAGGGTGGAAAAAAAACTCCAAAGGACAATCGACATCTGCTTCTGTGCAGCATTGGAAACCTTAACCAAGGGTTTTACGAGGGCGAGGGCAGGTTCCCATGGTCGGTAGGGCAGGTATATGCACCTATACATGTATGTGTTATGTATGTATGTATATATATATATATATATATATATATATATATATATATATATATATTTAAGCTATAGAGGCTCTATCAGGTGCACCACAGCCCTGACCCCTGGTCAAAGAGAAACCTCTCATAAACTTCATCTTATTCGTCGATTTTATCTTTATTCTTCACAAATAATAAATTTTCCTTTTTCGTTAATGACGATGAAATAAATATTTTTTCCGTGCGTCTAATTTCAATTGATATTTTTTTCTAAATGTTTTTCTAAAAATATTCTCGATTATACAAGTTTCATAAAATCATTCCACTATTTCATTATTTCATTTGCACTATTTCATAAAATCGTACGATAAAATCATATGAAATTGAAACACTTGATGAAATCATTTAAATTCGATCGTTCGACGTAATAACATGATAAAATTGTTGGAATTGTTGGAATTGTTCGAATAAAAATGTTTTTGTCAAAATTAATTTTAAGACAAAGACGATAAAGTTTTTCTCAAAGAGCGAAGGAGATTCCACGTCAAGTAATTAGCAAGGTGTCTTAATTGAGCTCATTAATAAAAAGTTTTGTTGAAGAGTATGAGAGATTTCTCGCTTACGATGCCGATGCCGTTGTGTTCTCAAAGTTTTCATGATGATTTATTAACGATCCAAGGCAATTGACCTGGTTCTCGATCATATAAGTCTCTTCTGTGTCGCATCGTACTAGATTTTGCGAAGGTATTATGTTTTACTAATGAGTATAGGCCGATTTAGCAAAGGCTTTTGCTTTAACGATTATTTCACACGAAAGTAATTAGTCGAGCGCTTGAATTAAGTAACGCTTTACGTTAATTTCCTAATCAACGAATCTTTTTCAAGATGAAATCCATTTAACCGATGCGCTTCCACTTATCTTACAAAATCTTATTACGAAATTAGTAATACTCGTTATTTGTATTATCTGTTTCTTATACAATATACTACAATTGATTTTTTTTTTCTTTTTCTTTTTTTTTTTTTTTATGGAATGATTAAACAAACTTATATAAATTACATGTTTATGTACTTAAAAACAAACATTTTTTAATAAAAAAAAAAAAAAATATTCTCCTTTTTATTTGAAACTTTTTATACATTTTAAAATAAAGACTTTCAAATTTCTTCTTTAACAATTACTGAAATCATAATTATTATAAAAAAAAAAAAAAAAAAAAAAGTGAAAGCTCTTATATGATTACTTATTAAAATCGAATAAACTAAAAACTGCTTTCAAAGATCTAGTAAAAATAGGTCGACAGTTGTAATGTTAACGATTTCTTAGAGAAAGTATCATAGACTGATGTTCGTAGTAAATTAATTGACAAGACGAGGAGGAGTACACGCGAAAGGGCAGAATTTTCCCACGAAATTTCCAACCAGTCGAAGACGAATTCACCTTTCGAACGCATCGCTCGCGAATGACTAGCTAACGAAAATAAAGAGAGAAAAAAAAAAAAGCTGCCAGCTGTAAGAGAAGCTTTTATCGAGCCAACCGGAAACGTGTCACATACCCTAACACACATAGAAATACATACGTACACGTGGGTTATGAAAGTTGCACGTGGACATTTTACTTTTATAAAACTCGTCAATTTCCTGATACACGTATTCGAAAGAATCATCGGCAAAGAAAAAGAAAAGAAAAAAAAAAGAAGAAGAAGAAGAAGAAGAAGAAAAAGAAGAAGAGAAAAAAGAGCATGAAGAATCGTACGAAAGAAAAGAAATAAGGTAGACAGTGAAGAAGAGTCGAAAAATTATTTTCAAGGTGCGATAGCGTCGTAAAGAATATTTTTTATGAGGGACTCTCCTTCGATTTCATTCGCATTGGATTTTTATCGTCATGAATTATTTGAAATTGTAATTTTATAAGAAAGAGATGGACTAATAAACAAAAGGAAATAGGTATAATGATGAAGAAGAAAAAAAAAAAAAAAAAGAAAAAAAAAGAAAAAAGAAAAAAAAAAGATAGAGATAGATTAATAAACAGAAAGAAAGAGTTAATGAATAGACGGAACGAGATAGACTAATAATAAAGAGTAAGAAAGAGTAATTAGGGGTAAGAATGGGATACAGTAATGAAGAGAAAGAAAGAGATACAGAGTAATGAATAAAAGTAGAAGAAAGAAGGAATGATAGTAAGACAGGAAAAGAGAAACAAGGACGAAGCAATATGAAAGGAATTGCAGAGAGAAGAAAAGAGAGGCAAGAAAGAAAGAAAGGAAGAAAGAGAAAGACGTAAAGCTGCGAGGCAGAGTTCGTTGGCCGATTGTCTACCTTTGCCATGAGCTTCTCTCTCTCTCTCTCTCTCTCTCTCTCGCTCCCGCTCTCTCTCTCGCTCTCTCACTCTCTGTCTTTCTCTCACTCTCTGTCTTTCTCTCTCTCTCTTTTCTTGCGGTCCATTTCGTTCGCTTTATTCACCACTATCCTTTGCCGTGGGTGTGAGTTTCTCTGTGAGAGTTTACGTATATGTGTGCTAAGAAAAGACGAAGAGAAGGGAGAGATAGATAGAGTGAGAGAAAGAGAAAGAGAGAAGGTATACAGGGCCTCCTTTCGTAGAGGGTGACGTCATCGATCGATAAAACGAGCAAGGAGCGCAGGTTGTCTCACGGATCCTCTCTCTCTCTCTCTCTCTCTCTCTTTCTCTTTCTCTTTCTCTTTCTCTCTCTCTCTCTGTTTTTCTCTCCCTTCGACTTTATAAGGAATCTTGTATAACCGACGCGTGATTCGTCCGGAGTTTGTACTCTTTCTCTCTGTCTCTTTCTCTCGCTTCCTCGCTCGCTCACTCTTTTTTCGTATTATTATCGGAATCTCGTTTCACGATTATGTTCGTCGAATTAAAACACTACTACCATTTATCCTTTTCTACAGGTACCTAAGTAAAATCTTAGATTTTCTAATATATTGCATTGAATACGATCGGTACAAAGATTTTTCTAATCTTCGATGTTTTTTATGTTTAACGATAGTCATTGTACTAATCTATATTAACAAGCACATCTTTTAATTATATATATTATATAAGGAAGAGTTGATTCAAAAAATATAATTTATATATATATATATATATATATATATATATATATATAAATATCTACATTGTAACGAAATTATAATGATTTAATCCATAAGGTGAACGTAACCTGGCGCTCGTAGACACGTGCCTAACAAAAAAATAATATATCGAAAATGAAATCGTCTCGATTATAGCCTCTCCACGAAGAAAAATACGCTCGCAAGCTGTCACGAAGCTAAACAAAAGGAATGAATGAATGATTCGAAAAATACGCGGATCAAGTATCGTAAACGCCCATGTGCTTTATGATCACTTTTATTATAAGTCCCCCGATCATGTTAATATTAATTTCTCGATAGAATAAACTTTCGTCATATATCCAAAATAAGATTGGATAAGTGTGGTCTCTACTCTCGAACGAAGGTGAATATACAGACAAACATTTCTATCGAATGTAAACAAAATCAAATGCGTTATCAACAGCATCAGTTAATTCTTAAAAGGTCAGCCACAAATTTATCACAAATTACAATTTCACAACTCTAATTTAATTTTAATATTGAATAAAAATTATTTCGATTCGATTTATTCGAATAGGAGAAAAATTATTTTTCTGATGATATTTATCATGAAACTTTACGAAGTTTCTCTTTCTAATCGAAAGTTTTTAACGTATAAATCACTGCAAACATTTGTATTACCTGGATATTTATTGTACGTGTCCAGAGTATTACATAGATATAATGAGTTAATGATAAAAATAAATCTTAGTTTCGGGCAATAATGTTCAGGTAAAAGTAATCTTTCAAGTAAAGATCGTAAATATACTTAAAGTACTTTACGTAGAGATACTAAATTATATACGGCTGTAAAATATGTTCATTCGTTACGTTTAAATCCCTTCATCAATTTTTCTTAGACATTTTTCCTAACCAAAAAGTTTCTTTTAACACTAAAAAAAATTTAATAAAATTAAATAAATGAATAAATTTTTATCGAATTAATAATTTTTTTAACTTACAACCAAATAAAATCAAATAAAATCAAGGCCAAGTTCACTGTTCGTAAAAATACAAAAAATTGAATACAAATTTACCGAATGAATCTTTTTCTTTTTTTTTTTTTTTTGTAAATTAATGTTGATTCCTTAAAGGAAAAATATTTGAATTTCCAATAGGATCGTTAAAATCTTCTTACTTGGAAGAGATTAGCCCGAAGGAGACTTTCTGAACGGACAACTTTTACATTGTAAGGACGTGCCAACGAAGAAAATCAAGATATTTTTAAGGTCAGTCATTTTTCGTTATGACAACGAACATAATGACGGGATTCGTCTCATCGAATTTTGACTTATCTTATCACGTAGTTACAATGTAATTAGTACGACGAATTTACTAATTACACGTATAATGATGGACAGGAATTTATTCTTTATATGCATGTATATTGCTTATGTTCGTTTCAACATCGACAACAATCCTTTGGCAACCTCATGCTATTTAAAAATAATTAAACACGATTAAGATAAATTTACACTATGACGTAAATTTCATTAAAAATTTTTGAACATGTCAGTAATATTTCTCATGTAGATTATTTAAATATTCTCTAAATATATTAATTAACGGTCTATAAAACAAACGTTTGATAGAAAATTAGCTCGTTACATTGTAATTACAATTTAACAGAGTTTGTACTAATTAGATAATTATGCGAAGAGAAATAGAAAAAAAAAAGAGAGAGAGAGAGAGAGAGATACAGCTTATAAAAAGTCCTTAAACACATTACTTCTTGATGTGGGAATGTTGTGTTAACTGTGACTACCATAATGAAAATTATACGAATGAAATGATAATCAATGGACGAAGAAAAAAAAAAACAAAACAAAACAGAACAAAACAAGTGAATGTCGTTGCAGTATTAACAGAAAAAAATAAATAAAAATAAGAATAAAAGAAGGAAGAGAGAAGTCGTAACAAAGAAAAGTTGGTCGGTAGAAGGCTGACTTCGCGCGTGGCAACCACGCTCTTGCCATGAAACAAAGGTTAGAGCCGCGAGTTCCTCGTAAATCCTCGGCATCTCGAACTTCTTCTTACGTTCACCTCGGAACAAGGCTCTCGAGCGAAGTTGTAAAATCGAGAGAAAAACAAAAAAAAATCAATGGACACGTCGACTGCGCTCGTAAAAAAAAAAAAGAAAAAAAAAGAATGAACTATCTAAAGAGACTAGGAAACTATCTTCCTTTTTTTTTTTTTTTTTTTTTTCTTTAATAACAACGCTAATAACTAACCCGAGTTAAGCTAAACATACGTCGATAAAAAAAATTATAAAAATAATCACAAATTAATCATAGATCTTCAATAACAGAAAAAAAAAAGAAATATATATATATATATATATATATACATCATCAATGGGAATTATACTTCACACCGACGTAATTTATATATATCGATATAACAAATAAGAAAAAAGAAAAAAGACCAAGTAATAATAATAAATATTATTTTACAATTTTTCAGCGAAATTACAAAGTCGAGAGAAAGAGAGAGAGAGAGAGAGAGAGAGAGAAAAAAATATATATATATAATATCAGTCTTAAAGATAAACGTTTCGTCTAATAAATCGATAAATCAATCGTAACATGTTATCCTAAGATCTAAATCCAAAATGTATGACACTCACCTTCGACTTCGGGGTCGAAAGAATCCTTGAGGGGTCTCGACGAGAATTAACGCATGCTCCGATCTAAATCTAAACTCTCTTTTTATTTTTCTTCTCGACAATAAGAACGATCTTTAGTCGCACAGTTAAAATAAACGTTATCCAAATAACAAATGATCTAACCAAGCTAAAGATCGAGGATTAATTAATCGTTCAGTATCTCGTTGGAATTAAGTACGAAAGAACGATCCGAAGCGCGCCACGACTTCGTCGAAACTGGTGAATCGAAGGAACTCGACCGGCCACGACGGCGCTGCTAGCAATATCGCGCACGTGTGTCCAAGTGGTGTTTAAGTGGGGGAAATGCATGGGATAGTCCCAACCCTCCCTTCCTTCTTCTCCTTCTTTGCTATTTATATTTCTTGTGAATTGTTTTTCTCTCACTTTTTATTATTTTCTTTTTCCCTCTCTTTCTCTCTTCCTTGTCCTCGAGACGTTCTTCTTTTTGCAACTTTCTCGAAAATCTACTTTCTAATAATTATTTCGAAAAAAAATTATTTTCACGTCGTTCGCAAGAAAAAAAAAAGAAAAAAAAAAAAAAGAAAAAAAAAAGAGAAAAAATAAATGAAAATATCTGATAGCCAGAATAGTTTTCATCTGTAGACGCGTTATCAATTAGTTTTCCTTTTTCGTGTCCTTGACTGGATATCCTGATGAAATTGTTCTGGGATTTGGACCGTGAAACTGCACGCTTTCTTCATCTAAGGCTGATTAATCTAAGATGCAATGAAGTCTTCATTAAATATTGTTATATATTATGTTTATTAGATTTTCAATGAACAAGATATATAACCATGAGTTTTAAGATAATTATATAATAAAGTATAATCTGAATCGACTAGGACGACTTAATTCGTTATGAAAATGTGATTGTTCTAATAAGAAAAAAGAAAAAAAAAAAAATAAATAAATAAATAAATAAATCATTTGGCTACTTGTGTCATATATCAAACTCACGTTTTCTTCGTAAATCTTTCGTTACTTTATAAACTTTACTTTGTTATTTTAAAACGTAACGTTGTTCTAATTATCAAATAAACATCTAATATATATATATTAGAAAAGAACAAAGTAATGATTCGAAATAATAAAGTAATGTTGATTTTTCTAATGAATTAATTCCTAAAATAAATGACAATATACTTGGATAAAATTTCGTTTGATTTTTTACGATAATCCATAAACAAAAATTTCATACATTTACATTGGGACCAATCTAAAATTCTTTTCGATTAATAGGACGTAAAAATGAAAAAGGAAATTGTTTGTGAAGAAAATCGACGACATGATTTGATTCGATTGGCCAAGTCAACGTAGTCTATTGGTACTGGGACTACTCTAGCGCGAAAGAAGAAGATGAAGAAAAGGATGGAACAGGTTCTACATTCATTCACATCTCGCCTGGGACCTTGAACAGAAGAAAAAGCATTCCGTGCAGTTCCTACTACTATGGAAGAGAGTCTCATCCTGTATTCGACGAGCACTGCCCTCGAGCTACGAAAGAGCTGTCGTAAATGTCCAACAAGACGAACCAATAAGCTCGTCCTCTATTGGAAAGCTCTTTCTCTCTTTCTTTATAAACACAGGTAAGAAAAGTTCAAGAAAAGAATATCCTAATGTGACTGAACAGAATTACGTTGTAAAAAAAAAACTTTCTACTATTTTTCTCCTTTGTTTGTTACGTTGAATGTATTCTATGCAAAAAAAAAAAGAAAAAAGCAAAATTGTTCACAAACATAAGTTATTTTTAATGTGTCCAAGCTATATTCGAGTTGTAAACTATTGTTTTTGCTATTATACTTTTTAATTTCTCTTACGTTCGTCTATTTTTTTTTTGTTTTGATTGTTAAACGTGATCACAAGTTTTCAAGTGGATCTAAAAAATTGTATTTGTATTCGTGAAGTACATTTCGTCTTATCGCGAACGAAATAAACAATTTTCATGCATTTCAATCATACAACGAATAAAAAAAAATCACAATACAAAGAATGATTATTCTTCCACTTTTGTTGATATATTATTATCAAAAGAAAGAAAAAGAAACAAAGAAAAAAAGAAAAAAGGAAAAGAAAGAAAAAATTGGAAAAAAGGAAAAAAGAGAAAGAACTCTTCAAGGTATCCAATATGACACGATAATCGCGAATGCTCGTGCATTGCTCATTATTTTTAACGAGTTTCACGGTTGCTCCACTTTACTACAGAGTACAACAGGTGAAATACAACTGCGAATAAATTTCAATGCATCTTAAAGGGGAAGAACTTACGAATCGAGAATTTACATTATTCATATTCGAGCACGTGCGTAACATAATTTCCATCTTGATATAACGTTAAGAAAATAGGAAAGCCATACAAACGTATCAGTAATACATATCTCAAGAAAACATTCTAATACCTAATCGACTTCCACTAGAAATTTTCTTCGTGCACAAAATGCATTTTTTAGAAAACGTAATTAAAAAAGAGAAAAAGAAAGGAAAAAAAAAAAAATACAATGAATATCATGTTTGTATAAACGTCAAGAATGATTTTTCAAAGACCACGCAGAACAAAATGAAAACAACATAGTTAATTTATGTTGTTGTGAGAAAGAAGAGACAAAAAGTGATAAATACGTTATACGTAAAACCTTATAATTAGTACACAAGAATAAATACAACAATTATTCACCTGCCTTTCAAAAGGTAACTACATATGTATATACATACATTCATAAATTTATGCATCGATGCATAATCACATGGATATATATATATATACGAAGAGAGAAGATTGGTTTATAGAAATTAATAAAAGTTAAAAGCGTACAAAAAGATGACGATTCAGTCGTCATCGTCGTCGTTGTCGTCGTCATCGTCGTCTAAGGAAAAGGATAAGGATAAGAAGAAGCAAGTTCTTTGACGATTCTCTCGAGTATGGCTTAACGTATGGTAAGCGTGTTATCTGGGGGCACTAATCTAAAACGTTTCAACGTGAGATGCGTGGGCACGTGTGTTCGAAGATCGGTGCTTAAGAAACACCTCTCATGAAAGAAGAGTGAGAGAGCCTACGCCTTTCTCACAAGGAACAAGTAAGTATGTATATGTGTAGATATATATATGTATATATATATATATGTGAACGAGTATGATGAATTAAAGAACTCCAATGATTTTGACACTCTTAACGAATGTACTTGCACGAGCTCGACATTAATAATAATCCATTGAAATCTTCAAGGAGATCTTATATATATATATATATATATATATATATATATATATATATATATATACGCACACATATATTTGTTCTTTTTTTATCGTTTCTCTCATTCGACTGAATTTGTATGGATTCGCGATGAGTCTCGAACGATCGAAGCGATTACGAGACGCCCTTTGAGACTTAAGACTCGCTTTAAGAGGATTCCCAAGGAGAGTTGTCAACGGGCACGATTTTGCAAGCGAACGATACGTAAGAGAATTCAAGAAAGAACCTTTGATCTCCTTTTATAGCGAAGCCTTATAAATTTGATCAACAAAATAAATCGAATAGTAATCTTATACTTTGATTCCGATTACTGTAATAATTTAATCGATATAAAAAGAATTAAATTTAAATAGTTTTAAAATCGATCTTGAAATTTTCATTCTATACGTATTTATTATATGAATCAATTTTATTTTATTTATTAAAAATTGTATATTCTTTCGAATTTGTCTAAATATTATCGTACATAAAACTTTATTTTCTTACGCATAAAATTTCATACAACAAAAATGTTGACTATATAATTAGGAATATGAAAAAAAATATTCTTATATAATTAGATTTAAGAGAAAGAAAAGAATTACTAGCAAGAACAATAGGCTTTTAGGAACGACTACGACGATCATCACTTTGCTACTTGAGTACCTCGCAACGCCCTCTTATTTACCATAATTGCATGGAGTCTCGTGTAGGTTTAATTAGTCTGGTCATTTAATGCATGGGAACAATGATTGCTCGTAATGTCGCAGTTTTTCTAATGACACGTCATTATGTTATTTTCTTTATAAGGACTGCTTCAAAACATCAAATATTTCGTATTAGAATAAGAAACGATATTTAGTCGATATATTTGATTAGAAATGATTTGATTAAATTGATTTTATGTCGTGTTAGATTGAATATGTTTAATATATTTCTCTTTTATTCGTTTAACTTATTTTATTTCTGAGAGAGAAAAATATCAAGAAATGTTTGAAAGTAACCTACAGGGAATTTTCTTTTCTCTAGATTATTCTTAATCCTCTTTTCTTTCTCCAGGGACAAAATCATAAATATTAAAATAAAATTACAAGCAATATCCTTCAAAGAGAAAACGAAGGTTCTCATACCTTTTTCGAATTTTCTAAAGATAAATGAACTCTGCTAAAGGTTCAAACCTATGATTATCCTAAGGCAAAGAAATCTCCATTATTTTCGACGTCGTCGTGATTAATGATCTAACAGGTAAGAGATTATGATAATAAAACAAAGCTTTATGAAAATTATTTGAAATTTTCCTGGATGAATTTCGTCAATTTGAATATGAACAATTACCGTAACTTTCAATTCGTCGATTTTATCTATTATCTTAATCCTTTATTTTTGAAATAATTTTCAATAAAAAAAAAAAAAAAAAAAAAAAACAAACAAAAAAAAAATAAAAAATTATCGAGTCACGATTATCTTGAAAAATGACAATAGAAATTAAATTTTAATTGTTTGAAAGCATCTGTCATATTTAAAACGTTCGTCCAAAAAAATTTCGAATACCTTGTATATAACTAAACTTGAAATCTTAAAAAATTTCCAACGGAATCGAATTATCCTTTTATGAGGGAAAACTATAATCGTTTAACAACGTACGCAACCTGTCGTTTCACTCAAGTACGCTCCTTGAGTTTCCGTTGGCATGGCAGACGAACTATCAAGACAATTAATTTGTGGCTTTTTTCATGCAGCTGAAGAGCTAACCGCACTGAAGCACACGCACGCACCGGGTTAAAGGTGCAGTGTAGAAGGAGGGTGTCACGAATGTGCACGTTACCGTGTTACGTTGCACGTTACATCCTGATGAACATTCTCACCTGCTCTATATATAACGTCTGCTTGAGTAACAACACCTAAATGTATCGTCCCCCATTATGCTAATAATATTTATCAATATAATTACAATCAATTCATTTTATCGATCTATTGTATATTATTATCTCGAAAATGATCAATT